GCGGGGTGCTGCGGAGCAGGGCACGGCCGAGCTCGCGGCGGGCGGGGCGGGGATGGCGTGGGCGAGGGCTGCCGGGCCGCGGCGAGGGCTGGCTGCTGTTGCTGGCGAGGCGGCGGCTAGCGGTAGCGAGCGGCTAGGCGGCGCAGGCTCTAGGGACGGCAGGCGCGTGGCCAGGGGACGGGGCGTTGTAAGCGTGGTGCAGACGGACAATTTGTGGTTGTCTACTGCGTTAGGCGCCTCACAAGGAATGACGGACACATATGTCTATTTTTGCATCTATTACCAGCTCAAACAGACAAAGTCCAAATAAAACAGATGTCCGTTTGGGATTGTGCGGTTGGAGTTGGCCTAAGCTTCACGTGCATACCTGGACAGAGCTAGCAGCCTAGCCCTGACGTGCGCAACTCGTTGAGTTGAAGCTTGAGGCTGACAATTGATTGTTGGCCGTCAGAATCGAGTTGTTTATCTTTGCGCTGCTTTGTTCCAAGTACAGGCGAATCGAACACGGTCATTTGCTTGGGAACGTTGGTGTTCACATCGGCCGATTCAAAGGTCAACGCTTGGTGTTGTCACGCCTCACGATGCCAGCCAACGTTAACTAATCCACTGGTACAGTACGAACAGGTGAGCTAAAGACGGCAAGAGCTTAGGGTCGCGCTATGCCGTTAGTAGTAGATACAAATCTCAAGGCCAATGTAGATACAGCTCCATGATCGTGCATTCTTTGTCCCGATCGATGGTGATCTTCAAGTTAAAAGCAGGCGCAAGCACCACGATACTGCGAAACGGCAGCGTTCCTAGTTTCTACGCACCCTCGGCTTGCTTTTCACCTGAAAAGCAACAAGCTGCTTCGTACCTTTGTTCATTCACAGGGACGAGCAAAGCCGCAAAGGTAACTTTGTTTAAGACAGAAGATCACAGACGAACAGGGGTTGCCACTTGCCGCCATTTGAGGGTTCCAAATGCAGGAGCATTCTCCGTCTCCACGTCTCTCTGGTGTACACAATTTGCTCCAAGCACATGGGCTGGCTAGAGCTCCAGATTCTTCCTCTCTCACGCCTCTCGCGTCACGGCCTACAACCACTTCGGTGTTGGCGCCGTTCGTGTTGATTTCTCTACCGTGGAAAGTGTCCACAGATGACTACAATTTGAATAATCTCTCGAGAACGCAGAATAAGAACAGCTAACACCATAGTTTTACCAGATTACCCTTATTCGAGCTGAATTAGAGACCCGTGAACGTGAGATCAAAGCTGTCCGTATTTGTTCACGGACGCGTCCACGTGTCCGTTTTCACGTAAACAAAAGCAAATAAGGAGGCTCTGCGGGAGTCCGAACCTACGAGACATAGGACTGTGACACCCTCGACCCAGCCAAGACCGAGGCGGAGGCCGCATTTGGAGC